TAATTAAATCACATGATGTTTGACATGATCATCAAATATTATGTTTGTGGCTATCAAAAATTATAGTCAATACCATATAAACATGGAAAAATGTTTATGAAAGGCTAATAAAAAAAGGAATACAAAATTGTACATAAGATTGCAACCATGTAAAATATGTTTAGGAGAAGTAGAAGGTAATTAACAAAAATAAAACAGTTGTGAATAGAATAGAATATGAATGATGGGAAATGGGTTTTTTTCTATTCAAAGTTTCAATATTATGGCTGGATACCATGGCTCACGCCTGTAATCCTAGCACTTTAGGAGGTTGAGGCAGGAGGATAGTTTTGAGACCAAAAGTTCAAGACTAGCCTGGGCAATACAGTGAGATCCCATCTCACATTTTGTCCCTTATTTCCATGTACAAAAAATTTTTAAAAATTAGCCAGGTGTGGTAGCATGTGCCTGTAGTCCCAACTATCTGGGAGACTGAGGAAGGAGGACTGCTTGAGTCCAAGAGCTCGAAGCTGCAGTGAGCTTTGACTGTGCCACTACACTGGGCAAAAAAGTGAGACCCTGTCTCTAAAAAAAAAATTTAAAATAAGTTTCAATATTGTGATACATCTTTTTAGTAAAACTATTTTGTGTTCATGTAGTCTCTTGTAAAAAGACATTCATGCATTTAGCATATTATTTTTTCAGAGTATGTATTTTTCAAAAAGGACTAATTCTAAACATTCTATTCTAATTAGAAAAATTAAATCTGCTATTGTGATTACCACTAGGGGGAGGGAAAGGTTAGGACTAGGAAAGGAAAAACATACTCTGGGTTGCTGGAGATATTTTCTTTCTCTGGGCTGGGGTTATACAAGTATATGTTTTACAATAATTCATGTTGTTTATCTTTTTAAAAATAGAAAAGAAAATTAGTTATTAAATTAGAACACTAAAAGAGACACACTTAAAAGAGCAACTATATAGACCTGGTTTTTGATTCTTCATTTAAAACAAATAATATAAAATATTAAATATCAATATTAAAATAAAAGGGGCTGTGTATTTTTAATAGACTATTCAGGTAACTACCTCTAACATGGTTAGAAAGAGGAAGGAAAACTGCTGTGTAACTATACAACCTGACACAAAGATTAGTTTCCAAGATAGTATATGTATGCTTAAAAAATAAAATGAAGAAATTTCAAAAACATGCATTCAAAAACATGCAAAAACTTGTAGTACAATAGAAAGTACACTTTTTAAATGTTCCTATGTAATTTTTACATGTGAACAAAATATGAATGTTCATTCCAAAAATACTATACTGTTATAATTTTCCTATTTGTCTTCCCCATCGGGGAATTTCAAAGAGCAGATATCTGGTTTTTGACTCAGGCATCCAATATATAATAGATGCTTGGCAGCAATAATAATTACCATGAGAGAAAGCATTTACTTAATCCTCACAATAACCCTTTGGGGTAGGAACTATTATTGAATCCATTTTACAGCTGAGGATACTGAGTCTTGGGAAGGTTAAGTAACTTGACCAGGGTAACGAAACTAGTATAAAGTACAGAGTCTGGACTCAAAACCAGCTCTGTGTTCATGCTCCATGCTCTTGAGCACTACAATACATTATTACTGAAAAACTAAGTTTATATAAGGTACCATATAGCAAGCAATCTCACTGAGACCCTATAATAAGAATAGATATATTTGTTTTATAATATTACATGACACCTATGGATTTACTACCCTACCTATCAAGCCTTTGCTATTACCTACTAAAGGTCCTACGTTATTGAAAAATTCACACAGTGACGAATTAATGAGAAAAACAACATTGCTCAACATTGCAAACAGAAAGACCCTGAGATAATGTACTGGAATATTCCAAACATCAGCTCTTCTAGAAGGAAAAACAATTTTAAGAGTCTCTTGAGAATTACTGTTGGACCCGAGATCTGACTTGATTCCTTATTCCTTTATAAAATGACTATCAAAAGAAATGTAGTTAAATCAAAAATCCCAACCTTCAAATAAGTTAGGAAGAGAGTTGTTATACAACAGAGGTCATTATCTTAAAGGAAAGCTGAAATGGTCCCTCTTTTCTAAAATAGTGTCACTTACGGAAAAAGTAATTCAAATTGTGTTCAAGGGGACTTAAAGCCAAATCTTTTTATGAGCCAAAGCTTTTATTCCTAAGAAATTAATTTTAGACTGAAATACGTTCCCTGTCTTCATCATAATATACAAACATAACCTTTTCTTGGTCAAAGAGCAATAATTCATAAGATGGGTTCTGCCATTTACAAACCACAAATTTCAGTTTCATTAACTATAAAATATTCACTAACAGTACTTGTCTACATCTATCCCACAGGATAGTAGGGAAAATATATGTGAGAGTGCTTTATAAACAGTAAAGTATTATGAAATACAAAGTACTGTGGCTGGTATTGTTGTTTTAGACTACTAGAAAATACACTCCAAAAAACTCACCACTCCTTTTATACTTTTTCCTTTTAATCTTGTAAGGAAAGGAACCCTATCCAAGTTGAGATATATTATTTCAAGTGCCCATAAGTTTTGAGCAAAGACTGGGCCCTCTATCATTTTGACTGTACCAAAGTCTTTTTTGCTTGTTTCTGGATTTTCTGATATGTTCTGAATAGCTCAGCTTGCAGGAGTAATCACCAGGTAAGATGAGTATTACGAAAGTAAGCTTCTAAAGTATATTTAAAACATACTTTAAATACATAAAAGTATTAGAAAAAAATCTTTGGAAAAAAAAACAGGCTATATTACTGATACCCGGCTGTTCTAAAATCACATTATAATCTGTTCACTGTATGATACATACTTTCCCTTCTGAAATGTGAGGTATGATTTTTATCTTTAAACTTTAAAGGAACTAAAATAAAATCTCGAAAGAAAACATTCCCATTGAGATTTACAAATGAAATCCTAAAGCATCACAAAACTAGAGTTTGTAATAACCTAAAATGTGAGGATTCAGATCTATTGGGGTTTAGAAGTGAACCACCATCAGTTCAGCTTAGTAGATGCCCCAGTTTCTGGACCAAAAGCTTTGTTTGCACATGGAGGGAATGCATTTCTAACTAATCATGATCCTTAGGGCAAAATAAGTGGTAGCATTTACCTTTACTTACAAATAAGTGTATTAGAAGTTTAGATTATAAACCCAAACATCTTAAAGTTGAAAGTTGCTACATAGAAGATTCAATCCCAAATAGTACTTTCCAACAATCAAAAACAGTTCGATGTCACTACATTTTGTCCACTTTTACCTATATCCTGGCTTTACTTCACTGACTTTCACTTAAAAAAGAGATAGCACCTACCTAACATGGTTGTTTGGGTGACTAAATGATAAAAAAAAACTACAAATCATCTAACACCACAGCCTGGCATATACTACCCCACGGTGGCTATTCTACAGACAAATACATCAAAGGAAATTTCAGTTCTCAAAGCTTCAAATTTTAAAGTCACTGCTTAAAAAGTAACATGATTTGCCAGCACTAGAGTTTACCAGGAAGTAGCACTGTCTTTAATTAGTATCTGTTTAATTTATAATTGATGCCAAAAATAAATCATTTTAATAAATTTTAGAACCTTCTATAATAAACTACAAATGAATTAATAAACAAGTACTGAGTTTCAACTTGGAAGACATTTCCTTAACTAAAGGAAAATATCAATTTTTTAAATTATGCATAAAGATCATTTTGGATTCACTATTTCCTACATACTTCGCTAATACTCCCTTAAAATGTTGAAATTTTTTGTCTAAAAACTTTCTTTTCCAAAACATATGTGTCCTTTTAATCTGCTCAAAACTCTTCTAAGCAATAAAAACTGAAACTAACACTCATGAAAGCCCCAGTTTGGAACTTTTCTGGGCTCTAGGCACTGTTCATGTTTTATTCATCTCTGTATAGGTGGCTAGCTAGGTTAGCAAAGAATTTAGCAAAGAATTAAATCGATAAACATCGCTGACTAAATTAGTCATCAAGATGAGGCAAATGATTAGGCTAATTCAAATTAATGTTCTTACATCATTGCTCATATTTGAAACAAACCTCAAATATCCAGCCCTTTAAAATTACTGACTTTGTTTTTTGTTTGCAAGGGAAAAGGAGAAAAAGGAGGTTCGTTTTCCTATATAGTTCCTGCAACATATACTGCAAAAGCTAAAAAAACAAATTAGTATTCAAAATGTCACATACATGAAATCATAACTTCCAAGTTATTAGAAAACTCTTCAACCCTCAGGAATTTTTCTCCCAATTTTTTTGTCTATCTATGAATACAGTGGCTCAAGAAAAAGAAATATTCACAAGCCACTGTTCATTCTAACATCAGATATTAATTTTACTAAGACGACTGTAACAATTCAGAAATATCGATTCAAATAAAACAATGTTTGTAGTGCTACCTAAGAACCCGATCATAGCAATGCATGGTCGTGGTCATTACTTTGGAATAAGGTATTCTCATCAATCCGAGGATTTGAGAAGATAAAATGCAGGGTGAGGCATAGATGGGAATACATCACCGGGAGAGGGGAGAGAAAGGAAAAGATCAGAGAGGATTAATTACTGCATTATTTGTGGAAGGGAAGGGAGATTACTTGGATCAGTAGGCGAGGACCCGTAGGAAGGGGAGTGAAAACGGTTCATTTTGCAGTTAGCAAGTCTGGGGAGTGGGAGGAGGGGCAACTATCAACGGGGACTGTTCCCAGTCACTTACGTAGCCCCTTCGAAAAGGAGAAAATTGCCCTCAGGTCAATCTCAATAAGCAACTGTGAAGGAAGGGGGAGTGACTTTCCTAGGTGTGACAGAGGAAATAGAGGGTCACTTCCCAAAGGACTGGGGGAGGCCACGGTTCCCCTAGGTCCTCCCCGGTCATGGGGGAATAGAGGGAACTGTGGTAAGAAGCCTCATGGCCGCAGCAGGGATGTGAGAGACCTAGGGCTGAGGTGTGGGCGTTACCTGCAGGGTCACCTCCTGGGGGTCCCAGTGGGGCCGCAGGTGTTGCAGGAGGCTCAGGGCCCCCTCCCGGCAGCGTTGTTCCTCCTGATCCTGAACCGTGACATTCAGCTTGGGCACCTCCGGGGAGCCGGGCGGGACGTGGATGTAATTGGCCATGGCCCAGGCAACGGCAGAGACTACCACAACGACGACGGCGACGGCGACCACGAGAACGGCGGGCGCCGACAGGCTGGTGGACCCTTCCGTCCCGGGGCGCCCTCGCGGGAGGGCTGGGGGCGCTCGGACGGGCGGGCGAGCGATAGGAGAAGGGCTGGAGGCGGCACTACAGCCGATCCGGTCTGGACAGTAGCTGAATTGAGCCTGGGCCGCTCACGGGAAAAATTCCTCTTGTCGGCGCTCGACCGCGGTCGGCCGCGGAGCATGCCGGGACTGGCCTGACGCTGGCGTCACGCGCGGGGCGGAGCCTCCGCCTCCGTCAGCGGCCAGGCCTGGATTCTTAGCCTGCGGGCACAATAGGCCCGCTGTTGCGCGGTGGCACTGTACTGCGGTTGTTACACGTTCAGTCCTGTGAGCTGCCAGTCTGAAAAACGCAGGCTTCCTTCTAGGTTATGAACCTGAACCTTGCCAAGGCTCCCAAGGCTTTAAAGCTCTAGTTCACCTGATCAGGAAGGTTGTGGGGCTCCGGGCTTGAGTTACGGTGCAGGATCATTCTATGAACTCTGGCCTGGGTCTGGCAAACTAGATTAACCTGGTCGCCTTGATCTTGGCGCTGCTAGGTACTGGGGACCACATACTAGTTGGATTAGTAACTAAATTCCATTAGCTGTATAACGAGAGCGCAGTACTCGGAACATAATAAAGTTATTTGAGTAAAACAACTACAACACTTAAAAGAGTTATCTGTAGTCAGATGTTTGATCATACTGAAAATTATTCAAAGCCAGGAAAAACAGGTTAGAGTCTGGGATGAAGATGAAAGGAAGGAAAGGAAAATAGTTTTGCGGCTCAGCGCTAAAGCAACTCCTTGACTGTGCAGAGGTTCCCCAAGTGGACTCTGAGGGCTCACCACTGCTGTCTTGAAACTTTTCATCGCAGTGCCTTATGGCAGCCATTTCTCCTATTAAGGGAATACTGGGAATTAGATAATCCACAAGTAATTTATTGGGCCCACCTAATTTTCCTATTTGATGAAGGAAAATGGGCTGGGATTTGACCTCTGTATCTTCCCTGCAGCACTTAGTACGTGGTGAATACGTTTGTTGATAGTAAATTAAATCCTCAACTGGACTCAGTTTAATTAACATTCAAAATGTTTAATTACCTCATTAGCACAAGTGTACATTCTGATTGTTCAGAAACAACTTACCTTTGTAAGTCGCAAAATCAATACTTAATAGATAACAGTAAACATCCTAAACTAAAAAGTAGGGGGGCGGGGACGGGAATCGAGCTTTATAATACAGCAAGGAAGTTGATTCAACATTCTACAGACTTAGACCTATTTTTTTAAAATCATGTACTACAAGAAACATTAGATTATAAGTTCCTTCCTATTTGAAGAGAGATAATATACTAATATTTTCACATTTTCGATAGTATCTCTTGTATTTTTGTATAAATTTGTATATATTTTTTGTTATACAGTTGACATTTTAAGAATTTTAAAACCATATTTTGTAACTAAAGTAATTTAGCAAATTATGAACATTTATTTTGGAAGCTGCACTAGTTTGTAATTTTAAATGAATCCATTAACAAATAGAAAGAAAAAAATAACTATTAAGTACTTAAGAATAAAAGTAACAAAAAAGGTACAAGATCTTTATGGATAAAATTATACTAATGGAGAAATGAACCACATTCATAAATAAGAAAGGATAATTATTATAAGAACCTCAATTCTCTCTGCACTCATCAATATATATAAAACAATTCCAGTTAAAATTTCAACAGGGTTTTTCATGGAACTTGTTAAAATGACATTGAAATTCATACCAAAGTTTAAGGTCCAAGAAAAGCTACTGTAATTTGGGGGGTGAGGAGGGGTAGGTAATGTTGGAGAATAAGTTGGGAGTCCCATGCTGCCAAGATTTACTACATATTGGTTTATGAATGGGCAAATAGACCATTAGAACATAATAAAGATCCCAGAAAAAAACCTATACACACATGAGAACTTTGACAAAGGTAGTATTAAAAATTAGAAAGTTTGAGCTTGTCGATAAATAGTACTGGAACAAATGCTTTTGTATGGGGAAAAAATTTGATCCCTCCTCATTATGCATAAAAATTAATTCTGGGAAGATTAAAAACCTAACTGTTAAAAGGAAAACTGTAAAAATGTGCAAGAAACATTAGTTCTTAACAACTCGATCTATAGATTCAATGCAATTCTAATCAAAATCCCAGGAAGTTATGTTGTGGATATCAGCAAACCAATTCTAATATTTACATGCAAAGCCAAAAGACCCAGAATAGCCAACACAATATTGAAGAATAACAAAGTCAGAAAACAGGCAGTACCTGACTTCAAAAATTACTATATAAAGCTACAGTAATCAGGACAGTGTAGAATTGTCAAATGAATAGATAAATAGATCAATGAAACAGAATAGAGAGTCCAGAAATAGATCTACACAAATATAGTCAACTGATATTTAACAAAGGAGCAAAGACAATTCAATGGAAAGAGGATAGCCTGTTCAATAAATTATGCTGGAACAACTCGATATGCACGTGCAAAAAAAAAAAAAAAAGAAAATAGAAATAGATCTTATACCCTTCACAAGAAGACTTAAAATGGTTAATAGACATAAAACACAAAGCTATAAAATTCTTAGAAGGTAACATAATAGAAAATTTAGGTGACTTTGGGTTTGGCAATGACTTTTTAGATGCAACACCAAAAGCACAATCATTGAAAGAAAAATTGATAAGTTGTACTTCATTAAAATTAAAAACTTTTGCTCTGCAGAAGGCACTGTTAAGCAAATGAAAAGATAAGCCACAGACTGGGAAAGATATTTATAAAACATATTGAATAAAAGACTTGTATTCAAAATATGCAAAGATCTCTTAAAACTCAACAATAGGAAAACAAACCCAATTTAAAAATGGGCGAAGGATCAGAACAGATACCTCATCAAGAAGATGTACAGATGACAGACAAGCATATGAAAACATTTTCAATATCATATGGTACATTAGGGATTGCAACTTTATGCAATAATGAAATACCACTACACATCTATTAGAATGGCTAAAATGCAAAACACCAATAATCAAATGCTGATGAAGATGTGAAGGAACAGGAACTCTTATTCATCATTGGTAGAATGCAAAATGGTATATAATCACTTTGGAAGACAGTCTGGCAGACTCTTACAGAGGCAAATATAGTTTTACCATATAATCCAGCAATCATGCTCCTTGGTATTAACCCAAATGAGTTGAAAACTTACATCCACACAAAAACCTTCACACAAATATTTATAGCAGCTTTATTCATAACTGTCAAAAACTGGAAGCAACCAAGACATCCTTCAATAGGTGAATGGATAAAATTCACATGTATGCTACATCCACACAATGGAATATTATTCAGTGATAAAGAGGAATGAGGGATCAAGTCACAAAAAAACCGTTGACATTCTGGCAAAGGCAAAAGTATAGAGAACCCAATGGTTGCCAGGGGATCAGGCAGAGGGAGGGAGGAATAGAGCATAGGGGATTTTTTAGGGCAGTGAAACTACTCTGTTTGATACTATAATTGTGGGTACATGACATTATGGACTTTTCAAAACCCATAGAACTCTACAACAGGAAGGGTGAACCTTAATATGAACCATGAACTTTAGCTCATATTTGTATTTTTGGCAATAAACATAAAGCATAAAGCACATAATATGAAGGAAAAGGATTGATAAATTTGAAAATATTAAAATTTAAAACTCCATGACCAAAGACACCATAAGGTTAAAAGACAAGCCATTAGAAGACAGAAGATATTTGCAACGTGTATGATCAAAAAAGTATTTGTATTCAGAATACTACTAATCAATAAGAAAGTCAAACCACCCAATGGAATAATGGGCAAAGAACACCAGTTCTCAGAGGAGGAAATGCAAATAGCCAATGAGCTTTTGAAAATGTATTAATACCTCCCTAACTAATAATCAGGGCCATGTAAATTAAAACAATCGAGATACCATCTCCCACCTAATAGATTAGAAAAAATTTTGAAGTCTAATAATGCCAAGTATACATTACTTGTGGAGAAGTAAATTTATTTTTTAAAAAAACCGTGGAGAATAATTTTGCAATTTTTAAAAAAGTTAAAGGTAGACATCCTATACCACCCAGCAATTTCAATTCCAAGTATATACAAAAATCCCACACTTGTACAGGAGAAAGTGTGTATGAGAATGTTCACTGCACTATTGTTCCTAATAGTTAAAAACTGGCAACAATCTAACTGTCCACAACATGGAAATGATCAGTGATTAGATGGATGGATAGATCAATAGATAAATAGAGGATGAAAAGAAAGAAAGTAAAGGAAGGAAGGAAGGAAGGGAAAGAAAGAAAGAAATCCTATAACAGAGTAAAGATGGCAGATGGAACATATTCATCTACATATGCACACATTCAGGAGACAATGGGGGCCCTAGAGTCAAAAATCAAGCAGTAGTTCTGGGACTCCACCAACACTTCTAGTTAATTTCTTTGTCTCTTCTCTCCACCTGTTTTTGCCTCTCTTCTGCTTCTGATTGTCTGGTTTTGCTTCCTCATGATTCTGCTTACTGGTTTCTCTTCGTGTATCTTCCTACCATCCAGATCTTATTCAAAAGCTGTTCCCAACGAGTCTTTCTATTGCTTCCTTTATCACAACAACCTGTTTTATTTTTTACATCTCATTTATCACAACGTGAGTTATCTTGAAATCACTGTATCTACTTTTTTAGGGTCCATCTTTTGTACTAGAATGTTAGCTCCAGAGGAGCAGAGCCACAGTTTATCTTGCCTATTGCCATGTTTACACTGCCTAGAATAGTGCCTAGAATATAAAAAATAATAAATAAATGCTTAGGCCCACCTAATTAACCCTGAAACTATGCCAGTCTCATATACGAATACCCCTCAGCTAGGGGTTGTATTAGCTGATCATCACCACCATTAGTTATCTTTGGGTTTGGAAAAAATCTTAGCCGCAGGGTGTCAGTAAAATTGTCCAGCATCTGTAACACATGTCTAGAGGATATAAGATAGTTCTAAATATATAACATTAATACAAAGTATCCAACACATTTTAGTCCCCTTCCTGTATTTAGCATGAC